TCAGCGCGGGCGGGCCCTCGAGCCGCCGAAGAGCGACGTTCAGCAACGCCTTGCAGAGCGTCGTTCCAAGCGGGATTACTCGCCAGACCTGGTGACGCCTCTTGACGATCTCCATGCCCAGGAGATCGATTCCTTCTTCGCGGGCGACCCAGCCGCGGACAGCCTTGACGTCATTTTGATGCGCGCCGAGGTTCGCGCTGAGTCCCACCTCAACGTTGGCCGGGAGCAAAAAGAGCCCCCGGTCAAGGAGGAACAGGAGGAGGAAGCTGAGGTTGTCAAGGACGAGGAGGTCTCGGTTGAGATGGAGGCAGGCACCGCGGATGAGGCGGACGATGTCGCCCTCCCTGCCAACCGAGCCTATGTCGAAGGCCGCTTTTACCCCTACGGCAGCTGGCGGTGCTTCTTCTGCGAAGCCATTAACCCGGTTACCGAGGACCAGTGCCTCACCACGCACGCGGGCGGCCCGAATGCGGGTGCCCCGTGCGACGGCCGATGGATCAACGGGATCGACATCGGGTGGTGGGAGGTAGATCCTCAAACCGCGCCAGAGCAGTGGAGGCGGAGGTTTTCTGCCGAAGAGCTTGAAGAACAACAAGCGCGGGCGGATGCCGCGAGGCTTCTCAGCGATGAGGAACTCGCTGAAGCCCTCCAGGCGGCCGAGGAGGCGCAGGCGGCCGAGCGCGCCAAGAAGCGAGAGCGGCGCCAGGCGGAGAAGGCGGAGCGCGATGATCACATCAGCGAGGCGCTCCGCATAGCAGGGTGGCAGTGCCCTAACTGCTATGAATGGAACCTTTCATTCAGGCAGCTGTGCTTTCGCTGCAGCACCCCTCTCCGTTTGGCAGAGGTCGTCTCTCGCGGGATCCCTGATCCGCGGCGTGGCGAAGAGAGGGACTCGGGCTCCGAAAGCAGCCAGGACGAGCTGGAGTACGAGATCCTTCTGGCCAATCGTGCGATGGACCAAGAAACCATCCAACCTCTTCTTAGAAACAAACACAAGAAGAGGGGCGGCAAGCGACGTCGCGAAGAGGCGACGTACGGCAAGGGCCGCGACCCTTGGAGTGCTTGGGCAGACGCCCGTGGCAAGGGCCAGGGCAAGCCGAAGGGCAGAGGCAAGTCCGATGCCAAGGGCAAGCCCAAGGGGAGGGGCAGGTACGCCTGGGGCGCTTACGCCGCGGGCATAGTTGCCGCGCTCCAACCCCGCCCAAGCACAAGCTGGGTCCCAGCCTTCCCGTGCGGGTCGGCCCGGCCGCCGCCAAGTGTTCCGCTTCCGCCGCGGAGCACCTTTTTCCTGGGTCGCGGGCTTCTCAATCGGTTGATGCAAACCCTCAACGGGAACATCAACGGCTGGTGGGGCCTGGCGGCTGCAGCGTCGGCGCCGATTGCCTTGCAGTTGCACCGCGGGGCTGTGCATGTTGTCGAGGACTCCATGCACGCGGTTGCAACGATTTCGGCCGACGTTGTCGAGGAAATCGGTCATGGGGCCAGGCGGACCGTGTGGGTCGCCGGAACAGCCATCACTATGGTAGTAGTGATCTTGTGCGGCGCTGTTCTGTGGTACGTGAGTCGTGCCGTTGCCAATCGCATTGCGCATCTGCGACATGGCAACACCGCGGCCCCTGAGGCGCGGCTGTCTCAACTCCTTGGCTCTGAAGCGACGTTTGAGGTCGCGAGCACTAAGAAAGGGGTGACCCATAAAGTTTGGGTGCACCTCAAGGAGGAGACAGCTGCCTGTGGCTGTCGTGCTTACCTAGCAGAGGGACGTTGCGGGCATTGCGATGCCGCAATGGACACCGCTCGATCCCTAGGGTTTTGCACGCGGCCCAGCGAGGCGCGGGTCCTGCGCTCACAGACTCCATTCGGAGTACCGCCTCCGAAGCCCTGGCTAAGGGTAAGGTTGTGTTGGGTTTGGGAACAGTGAAGGATGTTTCTCCCAACTTGCGGCCAAGAGCCGCGGGCTCTCCTGCTTTCAGGGGCTCGCGGGTCGTGACCTGGCCGCGGCCCCAGCAGATGGAGCGAGCGCAGCCCACGCACAGTCCGGCTCCGTGCAACGTGCCGCCACTGCCACTGTGGCGCGCACACCAGGCCGGAGGAACAAGGGCCCAGCCCCCGCTAGGAGTCTCCAGTCAAAGAAGCGGAATTCCTTGCGGGCGGGCCATACGTTCAGGCCGCCCAAACGCTGCTTGGGTCTGGAGCAGCAGAGGATGTGATCTACATCCGGGCGTACAGCTTAGATTGCCCATCCTGCATCGAGGCAATCGAAGCGTCACTTAGCAAGGGCGCAGGCGTTCGGATTGTCGCCGACATGGGACAATGCCACCGCACCAAACTGCAGTGGCAAGCGTTGAAACGCTTGGCGGCTGCAGGCGCCGAGGTGAAGGTGGGTTGCGGCTCATCCGTGCGCGACGCCTATGCTCGCGACGGCCGCGGGGCTAAAGTAGGTACCGGTATCCAAGGGCTTCACCATGCCAAGGCCCTTTGCCTACTGCGGCCTGATGGCGCGGTGGTGCTGATTGGGAGCCTCAATTTTACCACAAGCAGCAAAGCCAATGCGGAGGCAGGGCTTAGGCTTGAGGTCGCCAAGACGCACCCGGTCGCGCAGTCCTATATCGAGGATTTCCAGAGGGTGTCGGCTGAGGCATTCTCCCTCGATGAGGCGGCCGCAAAGCGCCCTCAGTTGGAGCGAGCCAGTAGCTCCAACGTTGCTGGCAACGCCACTCGTGCCCCCAACACTGCTCCACAGGGTATCGAGTAGGCTGCGGCCAGTTGGCGCGGCGTGGTATGCATCCACGCATTATCAGAGCAGGCGTTGCAGCACGGCACGTTGCTTCGCCAACCTTTTGCATTTTCTTTTGCTTGACTGCGGGCGAAAAGCCGCGGCAGGTTGGAAACCTGCCCATTTTGCATTCCCCGCACCTTTCTCCTCCGCCCTGCCTGTGGCCCCTCGTGCTGAGGGTGCTCTTTTGCAGGTGCTGCGGACCGTGTCCTGGTCGCGGGAATGCGCTCGCCGAAGCGCGTGTGAGCTGCATTGCCTGCGGCACAAGCCATGTGCGCGGCTCTCGCTGAGTCTGGTAGCCCGTAGGGTAGTTCCGGATAGGTGAGTAGCCGTAGCTTAGGACCGGTAGTGTACAGTGTACTTTTTGTACCATAGCTTTGCACTAGCAGCACAAAGACCTGCCCAGTACTCTGGAGCCTCGCCTGTCTGCACAAAGGTGAGAGCTCGCGACTTGGGGTGGTTTAGGGTCGTGAAGGGTTGCTGTCGTCGTGCGTTCGTCCGGTAGTGCGGGCTGCCGCCCAAGCCGCATGCCAATGCTCTTGATGTGCGGGCTCTACCAGAGTCGCACGCGACACCCTCACCCTACCCCATTTGCCGCATTGCTGAAGTGCTTGATGCACTATGAGCTCTTGGTGAGCCGGAAGCCTCGGCTGAGGGGCGAATGTGAGCAGGTCAAAGCATGCATGGAGTGCTTGCTTAGTGCTAGTGCAGCTTGTTGTTTTCCCTTGCATGTGTAGTTTTGCAATTCGTAACAATGCCAATATTTTGGCTCAAGTACCGAGCTTGTGCCTTTGAGCACGGTAGAGTCGTACAGTAGCTCTTAGGTTGCTGTGCGGTCCGACCGGACGCACTCAGGCGTAGCTGCACAAGTGCTTGAACTCGCGAAGTCGTAAAACAGCGTGACCGGGCTGTGATTGCATTGGCTTAGTGCAAGTCCAGTGCTGGTCGACTTCTCAATATACATATATACATATATACATATATACATATATACATATATACATATATACATATATACATATATACATATATACATATATACATATATACATATATACATATATATATATATACATATATACATATATATATACATATATACATATATATATACATATATACATACATATATACATACATATATACATACATATATACATACATATATACATATATACATATATATATATATACATATACATATATACATATATACATATACATTCCTTAGGCCAAGCCAAGCCCAACGTTTCTTGCAGCTGTCTTGCGCGACTCTCCTCGAGCCCGACTGCTGGCTGAGAACCCTAAACCCTGAACCCTGAACCCTACACCCGGCACACTTGTCTTCGGTCTTGACACTTGTACCATGATGTCACATGCAGAAAATCACAAAAGAGCATGCAACCTTCACCCTGCGTGACTGGCGGTAACCATTAATATTCATATTATACTTGAACATGCAGATCTTGGTTTTCATGCTTGATGACTAAGTCGCCGGACACACTCCGCGGAATTCCTTGACGGTAGGCACTCCAAAGAATATACTCGGCGCGACTCTTTCCGGGGCAGGTGTGAAGGGGTTAGGGGGCAGTGCAGGGGCAGGTAGGGGGTAGAAGGTAGTGAGGGTCAGGGGCAGAAGGGTGGTGAGGGTAGGGCAGGGAGTTGGGGTGGAGGGTCGTGCGTGGGAGCACCTGAAAGCACTAGAGGTCGGTCAGGAATCAGGGCAGGCGGCAGGGCGTGCGGGGGGGGGGGGGCTGGCAGGTCGGGGAAGGTTGGGAGGGGAGGGGGGGGTGGTAGGGCAGCGGAGGAGCATGCACTGGGGAGTGAGGGCGGTACTAAGAAGCAGTGGGTCTTCACTAACGCCGCCCCGGCTGGGGTCGGCGGATACAAAGCATAAGTACGAAACATTGAGATCCACATTTCCAGGAGGGAAGGGGGGCAATTAAACATTCTTCCCTGCGCCCGCAAATCCCAAATCTTAACCCCAAGACTTGCAACAGATTCCATCGAGTGATGTGGATACTTGATGAATATTTGGAATGAGTGAACAAAGTACGATTAAAACCATGTTTCTTTTTGAAGGGGGTGCGCATTTCGCTAAGCAACGGTGCCCCGTTAGGATTTTTTGTAGTCAACTGCTCGATGCACTAGACTAGACGAGGCGACCCGCATCACAAGAGCACCCTGTGCCTTTCGTTAAAACATCCCGGAGCACGGAGACGTCGAAATGAGTTCGTGCATGGTTCGCGCTGTGAAGCTCGCAGGGGCCTTCCCACCTAGGAATGCTTCGCCTTGGAGAAAATACCACACCGGCATGCGAGTCGACCCAGAGACTGATGCCATTGGAGTAACGGTATCATCTGTCTTTTTCACACATATGAGATTGTACTTGCAGTGCCAAGGGCCAAAGGCTGCCCGAGATGTTTGACTGAGATGTGCGACGCGTGGGGCATGGGAAGATTGGGGGAAGGGAAGCGTCAGCCGGAGGCCTCGTCGAAGTGGAAAGACAAAGTACAAAGGTGTGAGCGCGAAGGCAATTGCTAACGGGATGATTGCTGTGCAGCACTAGCAAATTTAAAGGCCAGGCAACTACAGCCTTCGTGGATGAGGCTGGTGCAGGCAGTTGCGACGCCAACCCCCAACGCGCAACCATATGTTTCAAACCACGATGCAAGGAGCGTACACATCAGAAAGCGCAACCGTGAAGACTGAAGCGGCTACACAAAGTTGTAGGGCTATGCGGCTATGTGCCTGGAATGCACCTTTTATTGCCACCCCAATCTGAAGCTTTAAAATCTCAAGGTTTCACACGGCTTGGAGATGTGGGGTCGCCACAATGTCGCGCCCCTCTGTTGCGTCCTGACTTCTTTGTTTGGTTCCCCTTCGTTTCTTCGTTTACCCGTTTGCGTCTGAGAGCGGAAGTCGGCTTGGGTTCCTCAGCCAGGAACACGGAGCCTACTTGCAAGACCACAAGCTGTCGGAGTACTTCAAGGCCGCGCAAGGAAACGAAGAGGAGCAAGATGGAGCCTTAGGCGCTATTCATCTGAAAAGAGGCACTGTTGACTGCCCTTCTACGGCAGAAGCCGTCACGCGCTCGGCCTCTCACAAGTTAACGGAATCGTTTAAACTTGAATCAGCGGCATGCGGCAAAGCGGCAGTGCAGAAGAATCACAGACTCACAGAGGTGTGATCCATATGCGTGGATGCTTGGACAGAGCCCCCGGCAGGATTTGGGAAATGTGAGATAGAGTCACTCAGACGCATCTCCCCTGCCAGGCTCCAAGGCAAGATCGTCACCAAAGCTCCTTCGACGATTGCGTCACTGAGGCTGGTTGGCAATTGTATTCTGTCTTGTGCAGGAACGCAAGCATGATGCAAATGCATCAAAGCATTTTGCAGCTTAGCGTCCTGAAGGCACAAGCCTTCTTTCGAAGGTGGCGCATGCGTCATCACAGGCCCGAGTGGAGTTGGCAAGTCCACGCTGATCAAGAAGCTGATGGCAGAGTTCCCCGGACAGTTCGGATTTTCAGTCTCACACACGACACGAGAGCCTCGTGCAGGGGAGGAGGCTGGAATAGACTATCACTTCGTGGCACGTGATCAGATGCAGCGAGACATAGAAGCCGGCCTCTTTGTGGAGCACGCAGAGGTGCATGGCAACCTGTATGGAACCTCCATCGAAGCAGTGCAGGCCGTCACTCGCCAGGGAAAGGTATGCTTACTTGACATCGACGTGCAAGGCGCCGAATCTGTGCGCCAGTCTGCGCTGGCAGGTACGTGCTCCTTCGTGTTCTTTGCACCGCCGACGGCAGCAGTTCTGGAGCAACGGCTGCGCGGGAGAGGGACTGAAACCGAAGAGAAGATCCAGAAGAGGCTGTCCAATTCCTTGAAGGAGCTGGCAATCTACGAAGCAAATCCCGGAGCGTGGGATCTAACTCTCCAATGGTACAACGAGCAAGTAGAGGATGCATACCAGGAGTTTCGAAGTTTTTTGGCGGGCCAACTTCCGAAAGTTGCATCACCTGAGCAGATCGCCACTGTTCGCAACTCTCCTGCCTTCCAGGGTGGAGCATGTGCCATTCCCTGAGTTGAAGAGGTCGTTGTTTATGTGCAGTTCTTGAGTGGGGTTGCAGTGATGAGACTGAGCCTAGTTGCACGCGTTCCCGGGGCCAGCATATGAGCATCTCAAATCTCAGGTCATCACAGGTCCGAGTGGAGTTGGCAAGTCCACGCTGATCAAGAAGCTGATGGCAGAGTTCCCCGGACAGTTCGGATTTTCAGTCTCACACACGACACGAGAGCCTCGTGCAGGGGAGGAGGCTGGAATAGACTATCACTTCGTGGCACGTGATCAGATGCAGCGAGACATAGAAGCCGGCCTCTTTGTGGAGCACGCAGAGGTGCATGGCAACCTGTATGGAACCTCCATCGAAGCAGTGCAGGCCGTCACTCGCCAGGGAAAGGTATGCTTACTTGACATCGACGTGCAAGGCGCCGAATCTGTGCGCCAGTCTGCGCTGGCAGGTACGTGCTCCTTCGTGTTCTTTGCACCGCCGACGGCAGCAGTTCTGGAGCAACGGCTGCGCGGGAGAGGGACTGAAACCGAAGAGAAGATCCAGAAGAGGCTGTCCAATTCCTTGAAGGAGCTGGCAATCTACGAAGCAAATCCCGGAGCGTGGGATCTAACTCTCCAATGGTACAACGAGCAAGTAGAGGATGCATACCAGGAGTTTCGAAGTTTTTTGGCGGGCCAACTTCCGAAAGTTGCATCACCTGAGCAGATCGCCACTGTTCGCAACTCTCCTGCCTTCCAGGGTGGAGCATGTGCCATTCCCTGAGTTGAAGAGGTCGTTGTTTATGTGCAGTTCTTGAGTGGGGTTGCAGTGATGAGACTGAGCCTAGTTGCACGCGTTCCCGGGGCCAGCATATGAGCATCTCAAATCTCAGGTCATCACAGGTCCGAGTGGAGTTGGCAAGTCCACGCTGATCAAGAAGCTGATGGCAGAGTTCCCCGGACAGTTCGGATTCTCAGTCTCACACACGACACGAGAGCCTCGTGCAGGGGAGGAGGCTGGAATAGACTATCACTTCGTGGCACGTGATCAGATGCAGCGAGACATAGAAGCCGGCCTCTTTGTGGAGCACGCAGAGGTGCATGGCAACCTGTATGGAACCTCCATCGAAGCAGTGCAGGCCGTCACTCGCCAGGGAAAGGTATGCTTACTTGACATCGACGTGCAAGGCGCCGAATCTGTGCGCCAGTCTGCGCTGGCAGGTACGTGCTCCTTCGTGTTCTTTGCACCGCCGACGGCAGCAGTTCTGGAGCAACGGCTGCGCGGGAGAGGGACTGAAACCGAAGAGAAGATCCAGAAGAGGCTGTCCAATTCCTTGAAGGAGCTGGCAATCTACGAAGCAAATCCCGGAGCGTGGGATCTAACTCTCCAATGGTACAACGAGCAAGTAGAGGATGCATACCAGGAGTTTCGAAGTTTTTTGGCGGGCCAACTTCCGAAAGTTGCATCACCTGAGCAGATCGCCACTGTTCGCAACTCTCCTGCCTTCCAGGGTGGAGCATGTGCCATTCCCTGAGTTGAAGAGGTCGTTGTTTATGTGCAGTTCTTGAGTGGGGTTGCAGTGATGAGACTGAGCCTAGTTGCACGCGTTCCCGGGCCAGCATATGAGCATCTCAAATCTCAGGTCATCACAGGTCCGAGTGGAGTTGGCAAGTCCACGCTGATCAAGAAGCTGATGGCAGAGTTCCCCGGACAGTTCGGATTCTCAGTCTCACACACGACACGAGAGCCTCGTGCAGGGGAGGAGGCTGGAATAGACTATCACTTCGTGGCACGTGATCAGATGCAGCGAGACATAGAAGCCGGCCTCTTTGTGGAGCACGCAGAGGTGCACGGCAACCTGTATGGAACCTCCATCGAAGCAGTGCAGGCCGTCACTCGCCAGGGAAAGGTATGCTTACTTGACATCGACGTGCAAGGCGCCGAATCTGTGCGCCAGTCTGCGCTGGCAGGTACGTGCTCCTTCGTGTTCTTTGCACCGCCGACGGCAGCAGTTCTGGAGCAACGGCTGCGCGGGAGAGGGACTGAAACCGAAGAGAAGATCCAGAAGAGGCTGTCCAATTCCTTGAAGGAGCTGGCAATCTACGAAGCAAATCCCGGAGCGTGGGATCTAACTCTCCAATGGTACAACGAGCAAGTAGAGGATGCATACCAGGAGTTTCGAAGTTTTTTGGCGGGCCAACTTCCGAAAGTTGCATCACCTGAGCAGATCGCCACTGTTCGCAACTCTCCTGCCTTCCAGGGTGGAGCATGTGCCATTCCCTGAGTTGAAGAGGTCGTTGTTTATGTGCAGTTCTTGAGTGGGGTTGCAGTGATGAGACTGAGCCTAGTTGCACGCGTTCCCGGGGCCAGCATATGAGCATCTCAAATCTCAGGTCATCACAGGTCCGAGTGGAGTTGGCAAGTCCACGCTGATCAAGAAGCTGATGGCAGAGTTCCCCGGACAGTTCGGATTTTCAGTCTCACACACGACACGAGAGCCTCGTGCAGGGGAGGAGGCTGGAATAGACTATCACTTCGTGGCACGTGATCAGATGCAGCGAGACATAGAAGCCGGCCTCTTTGTGGAGCACGCAGAGGTGCATGGCAACCTGTATGGAACCTCCATCGAAGCAGTGCAGGCCGTCACTCGCCAGGGAAAGGTATGCTTACTTGACATCGACGTGCAAGGCGCCGAATCTGTGCGCCAGTCTGCGCTGGCAGGTACGTGCTCCTTCGTGTTCTTTGCACCGCCGACGGCAGCAGTTCTGGAGCAACGGCTGCGCGGGAGAGGGACTGAAACCGAAGAGAAGATCCAGAAGAGGCTGTCCAATTCCTTGAAGGAGCTGGCAATCTACGAAGCAAATCCCGGAGCGTGGGATCTAACTCTCCAATGGTACAACGAGCAAGTAGAGGATGCATACCAGGAGTTTCGAAGTTTTTTGGCGGGCCAACTTCCGAAAGTTGCATCACCTGAGCAGATCGCCACTGTTCGCAACTCTCCTGCCTTCCAGGGTGGAGCATGTGCCATTCCCTGAGTTGAAGAGGTCGTTGTTTATGTGCAGTTCTTGAGTGGGGTTGCAGTGATGAGACTGAGCCTAGTTGCACGCGTTCCCGGCGCCAGCATATGAGCATCTCAAATCTCAGGTCATCACAGGTCCGAGTGGAGTTGGCAAGTCCACGCTGATCAAGAAGCTGATGGCAGAGTTCCCCGGACAGTTCGGATTCTCAGTCTCACACACGACACGAGAGCCTCGTGCAGGGGAGGAGGCTGGAATAGACTATCACTTCGTGGCACGTGATCAGATGCAGCGAGACATAGAAGCCGGCCTCTTTGTGGAGCACGCAGAGGTGCACGGCAACCTGTATGGAACCTCCATCGAAGCAGTGCAGGCCGTCACTCGCCAGGGAAAGGTATGCTTACTTGACATCGACGTGCAAGGCGCCGAATCTGTGCGCCAGTCTGCGCTGGCAGGTACGTGCTCCTTCGTGTTCTTTGCACCGCCGACGGCAGCAGTTCTGGAGCAACGGCTGCGCGGGAGAGGGACTGAAACCGAAGAGAAGATCCAGAAGAGGCTGTCCAATTCCTTGAAGGAGCTGGCAATCTACGAAGCAAATCCCGGAGCGTGGGATCTAACTCTCCAATGGTACAACGAGCAAGTAGAGGATGCATACCAGGAGTTTCGAAGTTTTTTGGCGGGCCAACTTCCGAAAGTTGCATCACCTGAGCAGATCGCCACTGTTCGCAACTCTCCTGCCTTCCAGGGTGGAGCATGTGCCATTCCCTGAGTTGAAGAGGTCGTTGTTTATGTGCAGTTCTTGAGTGGGGTTGCAGTGATGAGACTGAGCCTAGTTGCACGCGTTCCCGGGGCCAGCATATGAGCATCTCAAATCTCAGGTCATCACAGGTCCGAGTGGAGTTGGCAAGTCCACGCTGATCAAGAAGCTGATGGCAGAGTTCCCCGGACAGTTCGGATTTTCAGTCTCACACACGACACGAGAGCCTCGTGCAGGGGAGGAGGCTGGAATAGACTATCACTTCGTGGCACGTGATCAGATGCAGCGAGACATAGAAGCCGGCCTCTTTGTGGAGCACGCAGAGGTGCATGGCAACCTGTATGGAACCTCCATCGAAGCAGTGCAGGCCGTCACTCGCCAGGGAAAGGTATGCTTACTTGACATCGACGTGCAAGGCGCCGAATCTGTGCGCCAGTCTGCGCTGGCAGGTACGTGCTCCTTCGTGTTCTTTGCACCGCCGACGGCAGCAGTTCTGGAGCAACGGCTGCGCGGGAGAGGGACTGAAACCGAAGAGAAGATCCAGAAGAGGCTGTCCAATTCCTTGAAGGAGCTGGCAATCTACGAAGCAAATCCCGGAGCGTGGGATCTAACTCTCCAATGGTACAACGAGCAAGTAGAGGATGCATACCAGGAGTTTCGAAGTTTTGTGGCGGGCCAACTTGTGAAGAGCTCCGAGCTTTCAGCATCCAGCAGCTTCCGGACAAACGACGTGTGAAGCCATGCGCAGCATTATCCCAAGAAAGGCTTGTAAATGGCCAAGCAGGACGCCTGTGCAGCTAGCACAGCGCGCAGCGACACGACGGCAAAGCCGTGGTCACCTCCGCTTCGTTAACGCCTCGTTAATGGCTGACATGCAAACCACCGCGAAGCGGTGTTTTGCGTTTCGTGGAGTCGAAGGCCTTGCCAAGCAAGACAGAAAATGGCATGGAACAGAAAAAAAGCAAAAGTGGATGTAAAAGTGGACGTAGCAACGACGTGGCAACGACGTAGCATGTTGCACAGGGTGTTGTCGGATACAAGGCTGTGGTAGCTGTTGTGAGCTCGAAGACTCCAGCGGACTCCAGCGGTGATCGCAGCTTCTTTCGCTTCAGACACGCAGAAAGAATTTCACACGGGCTGGCCACAACTCGAAGAGCGCCGTCACAGCGCAAGCGTGTTGCCATGACGTCGTTGCCAGACACAGGAACCAGCGACAAGTTGTTAGTTAATTGAACCGAAACGTGAGAATTGAGCAATCTTTCTTAGGCATGGCGGCATGGCGCTAAGCAACAAAGCAGGATTGTAGGTCAGTCTGACAAAGGATAGTTAACGCCAATGAGCGCCACACACCGTCCCACTGGCAGGGACCTTGCAGTTGCAAGTGCGAGGCAGGAAGACGGGAAGCAAACCATGCCAGCAGACTGAGATTGACCTCATGTTTACGCTACGCAACCATACGCAACCCGCCTCGGCCGGGGCCTGTGGCCGCGGCAGCGGCGATCCCCCCCGCCCCGTCCCCTCGCCTCCCCCCTCCCCCCCCCTATCCCCCCCTCCCGATAAACTGTGGGGAGGGCATCAGGGGTGGGTACCTGCTTTATGCTCCCCAGACTCCGCCCGAGGCCTCGACGCATTTTTCATTTTGAAGGTACACATTGTAACATGTTGCAACATAATTATATTTCAAAGAACATATGCCAGGACAGTTCATTGTGATTGCCTGTTCTATGATTTGTAGAGCGGCAAGTTGCATTCGGCATGGCCAGGTCAGAAGACCTATCTTCTGCCGTTCGTGGCCTGGTGGCAAGTGCTGGATAGTGCTGGGTTTTCTCGTTTGAAGGTGGGACCTCTGACAGTTCTGGGTCAGTGTGGAAGTTTCTATTTGTCATCGTTGAAGACCGCGCCCCTTCAATGCGATTCAAAACTGTTCCAAGCTCCCTCAGATCCAGTTCTCAACTTTGCTGGGAGAGATTCCGATATGGAGGAGTTTAACTGTGATGGGAAGAGGTCTGCAAATGTAATTGAGAGCGGAATTGCAGAGAGCATCAGAGAGCACAAGTTGCACAAGAGCTCAGGTTACCAACTTGGGCTGGTCTTCCTGGGCCTCTCGGGCTTGGCCCAGCAAAGAGCACAGAAATGCACAGAATCAAGAACACAGTGGAAAGAGCACTGTGCATGTTCGCAGATCCGTTCAATGCATTTCCGATATTCAGCTGTGTCGCAGAACTGCACTTCTCAACTCAATCCATTTGTTTCGTACGCGTTTGTTCCGAGGCCTGGCTGGTTAGAGCGATCTCCAGATTACGAGTTTATCATCCAGGCAGAAAGCACTGTGGAACAGGCTTTTCAATCTCGGAAAGACTGGAAAAAGTGCGAAGAAGCGCAGTGCTTCATGAGGCTGGGGAGGTGGCAAAAAGGCTACGACCGCGTGTCCCAGCTCCACCCGTCCCGGCAGGCCGATGGGCCTTTGTATGTCTTTCATTACTCTTAGTCTTAAAAAATAGAAGAATTATTTGACTTTAAACATCCCCACCCTCTTTGGGCACGGGACACTCTGGGGTTGGGCGCTCAGAAACACTCTGGGTTTGGGCTCCAGGGACAATCTGGGGTTGGGCACTGGGGATTCTGCGGCTGGGCACTCCAGGGACACTTTGAAGTGGGCACTCTAGGGACAGTCTGCTGGGGTTGGGCACCCTGGGTTGGGCGAGAACCGGGGCTGAGAAGAGTTGAGTTTAAATTTTTACAGAACAACCCCACACCGAGGGTGGGGAAAAAGCAAGTTCCCTTGAATTGTGGGAAACGTGGGAGAACCTTTGGGAACCTTCGGAAACCTTCGCAAAACCTCGAAACTCCTCGAGCAGGCCATGGCGTGTCCGAAGAGGAGCTTCGAAGCCTGGTGCCAGGCCCGGATTCCAGGACGGCCCTTGTAGACGCATATTTGTATACTTGTGTATACTTATGCATACTTATGTATACATACTTTTGTGGACTTTCGTACACTTATGGTGGACTGATGATGTATGCTTACGTTTCCTTATGTGCACGAACATGAATACATGCTAGAGCCCGGATCCTTAGGGTTTGTTTAGCATTGAGCTTTCGTTTTCGCTTAGCAAGTCCAAGTAGAAAGAGTATATATATATATATGTATTTATTTCTTTCTTTCTTCATAACTGAGGATGGTCGCGCGATTTTCGCGTATAAGCGAAGACTTTGCCATGATGATGATCGGAAATGTTGCATCAATTGCATGGGTTCGCGTTGCAGCGTCAGAAACTAGTGTGTTCATCTTGGCAAATACATGAGCTAAATGTACCGAAAGGCTGCTCTTCCATATTGCAAGGTTCCCGGATGAGGCCCCCAAACTACTCTGGATCCTCATTTGTATTCTGGTCCGGCGCATGCTCGGACTCAGAGCCAGCACACTGCGGAGCGAGCACGTTCACATCCTGGAGGCGTGTTCTTTTCGCCGGCAGCTTTTTTGCCCCTCCCGAGCCCTGCCAGCGCGTCGAGCAGGGGGGGGTAGATTGGTGTAAATCAGACTCTGAAGACTCTGAAGGCCCCTTCAGTTGACACGAAGATGCCTTCTTAAAGTCCACTCCAGGCACGGTGGCGGCAACTCGGGTTGAAGAGCGGACCGCGCTCCGGTTGTCGGAGTCGCTGAGCTGCAGTTTTTGTTCCCCAGTCTCCTATTTTGGGGTTCTAAATTGAAAAAAAAACTCATTTAAGGATTGCCCACATTGCCCACATTCCGAGGACTGTTGGGTTCCTGGGCTCCCTTTAGCCTTTGTCTCCCGTTGTCTCCACTGTTTCTTTGACGTGCCTTTGACTGTTTGGGGTCGGTGGTGTAATTGAGAAGGCTAATTGAGACTCTGAGAGTATTCTGACTGAATATTTGAGAGAGAACATATTGTAAACGGGATCTCAGAGGGATCCTTCAGCTTGTTCTAGCACCGCCTTGGGTGCAAAGCAATATTCTTGTAAGCAGAACTAGGCGACACGACGACACTACGCCGCATTATGCGCCCTGCGGGGCGATTCGATGCGGGTCATGCTTCACACGGTCACACGAAGTTTGCAGCTCAATGTAGTACGTCTAGTATCGTCTAGTATCGTCTAGTATCCCATCCGAGGCCTGTGGACTACGTGTCGGTGGATGTTTGGGAGGCCCCACCTTGGCGACTAATGCCTAGACTCATAGAGTTAACAGAGCGTCTAAGACCGAAGTGGCAAGCGGTGGAGTTCTCAGGAGCGCTTGGGCATCCTGGACCGCAACGCCACAGAACGCCACACGTTCGAGTGTACTGATACATTGCGCTTGTGCTCAGTCCCCCCAAAAAAGTCACCTGTAGTGAGACTGCATGTGACTCTCCGTCTTGATAGCAGTGCAGGATAGCAAGCCCAGCAGACAACACATCGGTCAGTGCCCTCTGGCTCAGCCTGAGCTCAGCCTTGTGAAGCCGCGGATGCCGCATGCGGGATGAGACATCAGCTCTGCGATTCTTAGGTTTCATTCCCTTGGAGCCGCGCTTCAACAAGAGGCGCTGCGCCGCTGCCAACCCTGTGAGTTCCTTAAGAGCCCTGATCTTGAAGGCCTTGCACATGGTCCATTCTCAAAGGTGCCAGTGAGGTTGGTTTCATCACTTGCAGGCGTGCTGAGCAGCAGAGTGACTGCTTGCTCAGTCCAGACGCTGGGCAGGTTTTCACTAAGCACTACGCCGGCTCCCGTGCGGAGCCTTCACGTGGTCAATGCCGCCAGGAGATCCGAAAGTTTGGGCTGCTGTTGCAATGGTGGTCAGTATAGAGCATGTGTGCCCAAGCTGTGTAGCCAATGGAACCGGCACCGTTCGTCCTGTGCCAATATGCAGGGTACAGTACAGCACCCGACGTGGGAGCACGAGAGAAGTCTTATGCCCATTCATGCCCAGTTCTTCGACTGTAGAAGGCCCACGCGGGCCCGTTTCCACCGCACCCTCGGGTTACTGCAACCTTGGCAAAGTCCACTTGCGGTTCAGTGAGGCACTTCTTTCCAAGCATCTCTTAGGTTTGTCTGCGCTGCCCTCGGAAGTAGTAGGTGTTGGCCTGCATCACTGCTTGTGAGCATGTGATCACTGTTGTCATTAATTCGATGTGGGCTGTTTGCTCCTTCGCAGAAGAAGAACACCAGGAATACAAACTAACGACAAGGCTTGGCATCAACAGCCGAAAACGGGACTGGCATCCGTAAAGCGAAGTTGAGAGAAGGCACCATGCATGGTGTCAAAGAGTCAGACATGAGAGAAGGTCACTTGTTGCGGAGAAGAGTCGGAATATGTGGTCGGAAGAGTCGCAGGGCCGATGAGTTGCGCTTGGCGTGGGAGCCGCCTTCAAGCGATGGGGACCTGCCACTGCGTCTTCCGACTGACAGAGCTCGCCTTTACCGTACGTAGGACCTCTATGTATAGTGTGGGGAAATCCTCTTCTGTGTATCAAATGTATAGGCCTATCGATTTATATAAATGCGCCAATAATTGCAATTTCTCTTGATTCTGTACATTCTGTAAATGTTATGAATATTTATGAAGTCTATGAAGTTTTTGTTTGTTCCTTAACGATAAAACGCATACGCATGTAGAAATCCTGAAAAAGTCTGGGTATCCATTGACCTAGAAATCCCCACAAATACAGTGAACAATGTCTATGAAACTTTTCAAACTTAGCCTTATAGATATTTAGGATTTCTGGCCCGCCGGAAACCCATATTGTCTATATATATATATATATATATATATATACATATATATATGGACACACCCCCCCCCCCCCCCCCATGACCTACCCAGTTCTGTTTCCCTCGTAAATACCGTTTAAAACCCGCTCGTGCCCTATGCCGTTTTTTGCTACTCTCAGTGGCTTTCTCTCGACAAAACAGACCCCACACGGACCACAGGACTGGACGCCGAGACAGGCGAGACCAAAAAACCAAAAAAAAACAACTTTTTAAGAGAATGGGGAGGGGATGTTGAAAAAGATGTTTTTTTTGGTTTTGCCTCGTAAAAAGATGGTTTTTCACAGGAAAACCAACTTTTCCCTCATAACAAGATGGTTTTGGCCTGGTCTGCTTCTGGAAAACCATCTTTTTGCGAGGTAAAAGTTGGTTTTTGGCTCCAAAACCATCTTTTACGAGGCAAAACCAAAAAACCAAAAAACCATCTTTTTTAGAGAATGGGGAGGGGATTTTGAAAAAGATGTTTTTTTTGTTTTGCCTCGTAAAAAGATGGTTTTTCATAGAAAAACCAACTTTTCCCACGTAAAAAGATAAAAACCAACTTTTACATAGTAAAAAGATGGTTTGTCATAGAAAAACCAACTTTTCCCCATAGCAACATTTCTGCTCTGATGTATGAGAAGGTGCTGGTAGCTTTGGCCCTGCTCTCGACAAAGGTGCTCGAGCAGCGTCTCCCCGCCATAGCACCAGCCCCTTGCTGCATTTGCAATTGCACCTGCTCGGTGCCTGAAGTGGGGCGTGCTGAGGCCCCCGCTGAGGCCCCAGCTGAGGAGACAGAACAAGGGTTTGGCTGGGACAGATACGAGGCACTGCGTCTACTCAGTGCTTTGTTCAGCGGCCAACTGACGACTGTCTTGGCTTGGGGGCTCTGTAGACTCCGACGGACGGGCAAAGCCAAAGCGGCGCCTCTCCACAGATCGCCGCGTCGGCGCGGAGGGGGAGTGATCGATGGAGATTGGAACGAAGGTGGTGGTGTTCTACAGTGATGATACAGTGTGGCATGAAAGACTGATCCTCTTGCCAGGGGACATAGACGGCTACTACTGGATCTGGACACCCGACAGCGACATCTACGAAGAAAACCTCCAGGGACGGGCCGCCGATGGGCCAGAGAAGGTGAAGGTAGTCCCGGCTGGAGTGCGCACTTTGGCCAATCTGCGTCATGGTGTGTACAGGTTTCGAGATCCTGTCACTGACGACGTTCTGCTTGCTCAAGTCCGGGAAGCGCATCGACAACATGTGTCTGTCTACGGTGCGCAACGTGTGGACAGGTCCCAGATGGTCCATCTTCCAGGTGGAACTTCTCGCTCGCTGGACGAGGTTCTTGACCGACGTCGGAGAAGCGTGAAAGGACCGGCTGGTGGTCACTCAGGAAGGGACTTTGAGCCAACAGGGCCCTCACAATCTTGGCTTTTTTCTGAGCCTCGAGTACCAGCTGGGGCAAAAGACTGTCCCAATGAGGGGCACCGACGTGATGCTGGGCGCCACCGATGGCGTGTTTTTCAGAGATGGCTTTTGGATTCGTGGGGAGCTAGTCGAGGACGCGGTCCGGGATGAATGGCTGGTGGCACGTCGGAGTGAGCTGGGTCTTCTACACCCGGGTGGTCTTCATGGATCCGGAAGCGGTCTTGGGGGTGAGTTCCAACCAGAGGCAGCTGGCACAGGGCTCGAGCAAGAGAAAGAGATGAGAGACCTCCGCATCTTGCCCATCCTGTTTGACTCCGCAGATGAGCGCTGGCGCACCTTGTCCGAAGCCCTCCCACTCTACGAGGAGGTCGAGTTTGACGACTTTCCTTTGCAGGGTCCCCGCACAGTTTACCATGATGTTCGGCAGTTGCGACGGCTTGGAATGTCATGGGTGCAGCACCACGAGTCTTGGCTGAAGAAAAGCGGGGTGAGAGTGACAGATAGGAGCGTCCATGAGCACTCCTCGCTGTGCCGTGTCTTGGATTACATGTCCTCGTACGATCAGCTCAACATTCCATCGCTGGCCTGCGCAGAAGCCTTGAACCGAAGGAGGTCCTTGATTGAGGTGGCGCACCAAGGCAGACCGGAAGCGCCTTCTTCCGAGGGCCGACGAGATCGTGAGGGACATGGCGGACGGCTCTGTGGTGGACCCGGCGCTGACCCAGCACGCGGCAAAGAGACAGGCGAGATCTTGAAGCAGAACCGGCTGGCAGCAGAAGAGAGAAAGCAAGCTGTGCGTCGAGGCGACGGTGGCCAAGGGGACAAGGGAGGCAAGCCAGACAAGCCCGGGAAGGGGCCCGGGAAAGGAGACAAGAGTCAGAGCATGCCCTAGAGTGGGGGCTGGTCAGTTGGGGGAGGACGCCAACCAGCTGGCCGGGAATCCTTTTAGCGTCAATCAGTTTTCCAATGAACCAGTGGGCCGTTTCGGGGACTTGCTACCGCTGCCCGTTCCAGAGGACATTGGTTTTCCAGGCGAGATTGGGGAGCTTCGTTCGAGGAGGTCGCAGCAAAGAGTCGGGGCACGGCGAATGCGTCTTCGGCGAGAGGCTGAGACTGTCCAGGCCCTCAACGAGCTGGGAGGTTTTTCAGATGAGCGGCAATGGCCGGCATTTTGTCGGAACCAGGCCCAGAGTGCTTCTCTTGCACGTATTCGACGGGCGCACCAAAACAGAGCGCCTGCTCCTGAATCCATGACACCGCAGGCAGCGCTCAGGCAGCTGCTGCAGAAGGCCGGGTCCTCCTATGGGGAGGGGCAGCCGGGGCAGGTTGTGAGTTACATCCGAGATCGCCTGTCGCTCCCGCGGGATCAAGCGGAGCCAGTCATGTTGGAAGAGTTGTTGCCGCGCAAGGAGCTTCAAATGTTGATCGACTTTCGGGAGCACATGATGTTGTCCAGTGAGGAGCTTGCCGGGGTCCTAGAGAAGGGCTTGGAAAATGACAAGTACTTTGACCCTTTGCTGGACAGCTGCCCCAGAAAGTACCACGAGCTGATTGCAGACATGTACGGTGCAAAACTACTAGGTTTTACCACGCAGCCCAAGGTACAAGTTGGCCTTTTCTGCGTCAGCAAAAAGGCTGGCAAGCAAAGACTCATTGTGGATGCCAGACGAGCAAATAAGATTTTCAAAAAACCACCATCCACCGTTTTGGGATCTGTTGAGGCATGGGGTCGCCTTGAATGTGAAGAAGATGAGCTTTTCATTGCCCAGGAAGATGTGAAGGATTTTTTCTATAGGTTGCAGATACCGAAGGATCTGGGAGAGTTCTTCGCATTTCCGCCGATTGATGCATGCATGCTAAAGGACGTGCTTGGCTACGTCCCCGATGAGGTGAGAGATCTTGCCGGGTCAGAGGAGGCGCCCATTTTCCCACACATGCGTGTCCTTCCCATGGGTTTCAGTTGGGCTTTTCACCTGGCGCATGAGGCTCACAAAACTCTGGCGTGCCGAACTTTGCCTTCGGCATCTTTGCTGGAAGACAGGCGAGCGGCGCCAGTGATGAGCAAAGCACGTACCAACTCTGCTATGCTCATCTACGCAGACAACAACAATCACTTGGGTGTCACCAGGGATCGTGTCGAGTCTGACCAGGGCAGGGTTCTAGAAGCTCTTCATGAACATGGCCTAGACACTCATGACCACGTTTACTGCACATCTTTGGCAGAGAGCTTGGCAGTCCGCATTGATGGGCTGGGAGGCACAGTTGGACCCACGGCTGCTCGAGACTGGCGGCTAGACAAAGCTTTGGAAGCGTGCCTCTGGAGACCGCGGCTGTCGGGGTCCGAGCTCCAGGTCCTTGTGGGACACATGACAGTGCGCGCCTTGATCAACCGCGGTCTGATGGGCTTGCTCAGGCATTGTTACGTGTTCATCGAGGAGTGCTACGACAGGCGCACCCGGCTTTGGCCTAGTGTGGTTGCCGAGCTGCGCTGGTTCAGAGCACTCATGCCGTTGGCCGTGGCCAACATCTTCAGCAAGTGGAGCGGCACCGTCTTTGCAACTGATGCATGCCTGACAGGATACGCCGTCTGCGCGGCCAACATGGATGCGGAGGAGGTCCGAGGGGTAGGTCAAGAAGACGAGCGCTGGAGATTTTATCGGGGGGAAGGGGAGAAGCTTGCGCCAAGGGCTGCTGCTCTTGATACCTCTGCGGTCTTTAAGGATCCTGTCACAGTGCGCCCCGAGAGCACGGACGCACCTCAAGGCTCAGTAAACATCAACCCCAAATTCCCCGAGGTGCCCAAGGAGTTCCTGGAGGGAGGCCGTTGGCGCATGCTTTGGAATGCGCCTTTCTCCTACAAGGACCCGATTCACATTCTGGAGTGCAGGAGTGTCTTGAGCACGGTGAAGCATGTGTGCAGAGACAGCAATTTGCATGGAAAGAGGTGTCTGATATTAAACGACAACATGGGGGTGGTTTTGGCTCTTGCAAAAGGTCGCTGCTCCAGCTACCCCTCCGGCTGTTGCGCCGAGTAGCCGCTCATGCCTTATGCTCAGGCGTAAGGTTCCAAATCCGCTGGATTCCTTCTGAGAGGAATGTTGCTGACGCGGGCAGTCGCCAGTGGGAACCGCGCGGGCAACAGGATGAGCAAGGACACGGCGGCTGGCGGGAAGCGGGAGGTCCAGATCTTCACGAGAGAGGAGGCCAGAGCAGCCAACAAAAGGATGCGGGGCCCACCTCTGTCAGAAGAGATGTGCACAAATCGCAAGACTCTGAGGTCAGTCTCTCCAGTCAGAGAACGGTGGGGTCGAGCGGCGATGGAGCGGGGTCTTCGCGAGAACCTCAAGCGCAGCGAGAAGAAGCGAGTGCGGGCAAGAAGGAGGCAGCAGAAGCATGGCCAGAGACTCCGGGCCACTCGAGGGGAGAGGTCTCTTTTAGAGCTGGGAAGCATCGCGGAAACGACTCGGAAGGACTACAGCAAGAAGCTGAGCGGGTTCTACGACTTTGCCGCGTTCCACCTGCTCGAGTTGGCCTTAGAGAAAAACCTCGACGAAGCGCTCCTCGAGTACTGCGATTTCCTTTACCTAAACGGCGAGGGTTGCAACCACGGTCAGAAACTCCAGGCGGCCCTGGAGTACGAAAGGCCGGAGATGGCAAGGGAAGGACGTTTGCGTCTGCCCCGGTTCGGGAGGGCGTTGAAAGGGTGGCGCAAAATGTCGCCCCCGCAATGCCGAATGCCAATGGTGGAGTTCCTGAAGAGTGCCATCAGCGGTTTGATGATCCATGCTGGTTTCGGGGAAATGGCCCTGTACAACGAGACGAGCTTCTCAACGTACGCCCGCCCAGGCGAGCTTTTGAAGATGAAGGCTGCGGATTTTGTGCCGGCGAATCGCGCGTATCAACATGCAGTTTTGGTACTGGCTCCCATGGAGCGTGGAGAGGGGACAAAGGCTGGGGTGTACGACGAGACGCTCATCCTGGACGACTCAAGGGCCCCTTGGCTCACCGATGCACTCCAGCTTCAGACAACCAAAGCGCTCAAGCAGGGCGAGGAGGCGAATCTTTGGTCTTTCTCCGCGGCCGAGTACCTTCGTGTGTGGCGGAAGTGCGTGAGCGCGCTAAAGATCGAGGAGATCGCCGTCAGCCCTTACCAGAACAGGCATGGAGGAGCTTCCAGAGACCACCTGTTGAAGTTGAGATCGGTGCAGGCAATTCAGAGACGAGGACGCTGGGCCGTGGACTCCAGCGCTCGGATCTACGACAAGCCAGGCCGCCTACAGCAGATTGTGAACAAGTTCAGCTCGAAGTGGGAGGCCTTTGGAGAGAAGGTCAGGGCGAACTTTCTCCACTACTACCGAAATGGTACGTGCCCGGTTCCTGCAGAACTGCTGAGAGTGTGGAATCGTCTCTGAGCGGCAAGGCTTTTTTGAGTTTGTTTGGGGGCGAGGCCGAGGCGGCTAGAGCCTTCTCCAACTGGGGAGGAATCGCTGCAGTCATCGACTATACTCACTCTCAAACAAATGACCTTAGCAAGCTGTCGCGTTGGAATGTTATCCTCAGCCAGTTGCACCGTTTCGATCTTGTGGGCATAGACCTGCCTTGCAACACATGGAGTCGAGCTAGGCGGGCTCCATGGTGGTCCTCTATGCCGCGAGCTTTGCGCGGCAACAGTGGTGATGAACTTTTTGGCTTGCCTCATCTCGGGGCAAAAGATTTCCAGAAAGTAAGGGATGCCAATCATATGCTGTTCGGAGCAGTTCGCACCATCAAGCGCTGTCTAAAACTGGGCATTCCGGGCTACCTAGAAAACCCGCAGCTCACGCTTGTGGCTCTGTCCGCAGATTCGAAGATTGCTGCAGGACCCTCGAGTGTTCCAGGTACACACTGATCTATGCCAGTTTGACACCCAGTGGAGGAAGAGTACCGCACTTTTGATCTGGTGCGTGCAGCCTTTCGATTTACCAAGGTGCCAAGGTCGGGGAGGTGTCTGCTCTCGAACTCACCGACGGCATCTCCAACTCACCGGCATCTCATGCGGTAAATTTCTTTCTGAACATGCCCAGGTTTATCCACCGAGGTTTGCGAAAACCCTTGTGCAGGTGTTGATGCGCCCTCCCTAACCCGCCCTGTGCCATTCTGTACATGGGGGTGGGAATCTTGAAACGCGAGGGCGTTGGAGCTCACATGTCCGAAGGACAACGCTCCATACATACAGATGGACATGCACGAGCATGCGCGAAAGAGAGAGCATGTGCTTCTGTCTTTGCACTAGGGAGCCCGGGAAGCATGTGGGCACTGTGTGCTTTATTGCTGAAAGGGCGTTTTTCTGCACCTCTTTTCATAGCAACATTTCTGCTCTCCCTCCCATCCCACCCGGGAATCTTGAAACGCGAGGGCGTTGGAGCTCACATGTCCGAAGGACAACGCTCCATACATACAGATGGACATGCACGAGCATGCGCGAAAGAGAGAGCATGTGCTTCTGTCTTTGCACTAGGGAGCCCGGGAAGCAGTTTTTTTTTTGTTTTTTTGGTTTTGCCTCGTAAAAGATGGTTTTTCATAGGAAAACCAACTTTTCCGAGGGAAAAGTTGGTTTTCCTATGCAAAACCATCTTTTTACGAGGCAAAACCAAAAAAAACATCTTTTTCAAAATCCCCTCCCCATTCTCTAAAAAAGATTGTTTTTTTTGGTTTTTTGGTTTTGCCTCGTACCTCTCTCGGGCCAGAACCGTTCAGCTCTACATGTAGCTGTCCAGTGGACGGTTTTGGTTCGAAGCAGGACGTGGTTTCGGTCAGTCTTATATTAGTCTCAGCAATAGCGTTCCTATTCCTGTTACAGTAAAAGGGTTCCTAACCATCTTTATAGGACTTCTTTTCATTTTACTTATATTCTTATGAACTTTCAGAGGTTTCAACGTCAGAGGATTCCTAATACTTTTCAATAGGGTTCTTATGCGTTTCAACAAGGTTCTTAATCATTTTAAAATGGTTCTTTTAATTCCAATAGGGTTCCTCTGAAATTAAGAATCTTTCTGAAAATTCATGTTAGGGCCTATTCATTTTAGTGCGTCTCCAAGTAATTTTAATGGTATTCTTGGAAATTTCAATAGCATTCCTAGTCCCATTAAGTCTGATAGGAGTCACATTAAGTCTAGCAGGAAGCCAAGAAATGTTGAAAAGAAACCACATTGAATTTTGTAGGACTCCTATTGGTTCCTATGAATTTTAATAGGATTCCTCTTCATTTTGGAAGGATTCCTATCAATTCGCAATAGGGTTCTTAGGAATTTTACTGGTGCTCCTAATAAATTCCGATTAACGTCAAAGGGTTCCTAACCATCTTAGTAGGACTCCTCTACCATTTCAGAATATTCTTACGAATTTTCATATTTATTTTCATAGGATTCACATTAATTCCTATTAATTTTAGTAGGATTCCTCTCCATTTTCAAAGGATTCCTTTTAATTTGCAAGAGGGTTCTTATGATATTTAGTGGTGTTGCTTATAAATTCCTATTGATGGTAGGACCCTCTTCATTTGAAAGATTCAACTTAATTTGTAAAACGGTTCTTTTTGAAGTTTAGTGGGGTTCCTCAAAAAAATTGAATAGGATACTAATTCATCATAACAAGAGTAAGAGAAATATTAATAGGATTCCTATTTAGATTTAATGGAATTCCCACATTCCCGTGAATTCAAAAAGGGTCCCTTTTCATTGTCACAGGCTCTCTACTATTCTTCATGGGGGCCCTATTATTTTTCTACATTTCAATAGCATTCCCGTGATGTTTGATACAGTTCCTCTGGCTCAAATATGATTCCAAGCCATTATTCCTATTAATTCAATAAGATTCTTATTGATTTCAATAAGGGTCTTATTCATTTTAATAGGGTTCGTATGAAATTTCATGGGGTTTTCGTTCAATTAGTCGGGTTCTTTGTAAATTCATACCTATGACTAAGTATGGATTTCTTACTCCGACACGGCCTCACGGTAGGTCATGGGGGGGGGGGGGGGGGGTGTGTGAGCATATATATATATACATATAAAATATGTGTATATATATATGGTGAATTTCATCTTTAAAGGTGAAATTTATACATTTGTAACAATCTGGGTTTCCGGCTCCCCAACACGCATAAATCAAAGAAATATGGCTTGTAATATGTGCAAAATGTATAAAGCGCTTAAACGTCAAATTTTTGTTTTTTTCGCTTTATAGGGTTTCGGACACTTGGGTTTGCGCCTAGCGTTTAGGGCATAGGGTTTAGTGCCCTAGCGATTCAGGCATAGGTAGAGAGCCCTGCCCCACATCAAGCGGCTTACATGAAGAGTAAGAGCAACACGATTCTTTTGAGGGACAGTTTGAATGTTTAAATTGGAACTCCGGGTTCCCAAAAAGTTGTCTCACAGCTCAGAAATCGGCACATTACTAGCAAGCTAAACAACTTCAATACTCCGATTGCATATAGGGTCCCCGCCCTACCCCCCCCCCCCCTTCCCCCCCCCCCCCCTTCCCATTTCCCCCCCCCCCCCTTTCCCCCTCCCTTTTTTTTTTTTTTTTTCCCCCCCCCCCTTTTTTTTCCCCCCCCCCCCCCCCCCCCCCCCCCCCCCCCCCCCACCCCCCCCCCCCCCCCCCCCCCCCCCCCCCCCCCCCCCCCCCCCCCCCCCCCCCCCCCCCCCCCCCCCCCCCCCCACCCCCCCCCCCCACCCCCCCTTGCCCCCCCCCCTTCTTCCCCCCCCCCCCCCCTTCCCCCGTGAACCACCAAGCCCGTCTGGTCCCCCAGGTTCAGAGCTGAGAGGAGGCAAGTGGTGGCGGAAGCGGAGGGTCCTGATCCGCCACAGCGCTCAGAATCGGCTTTTTGCCCCGCGTAGGAGGGACAGGTTCTTGCTCCTCAACCACTCCATCCAGTTCCAGAATCGGAGGCTCTTTAATCCTTGAAAAAATGGTGGTGTACGGGAACAAAGCCAGTTCATCTGGATCTTTGGCAGTTCCATGAGCTTCAACCCAGTAACCGCCTGGTAGGTCATCGCACGGACCTAGAAGAGCAGGTTGTGTTCGGTCCACCCATTGGCGACCTTTCTTTGTGCCATCCGGACCCAGTAGTTCCCAGGGACGCCACTTGAACATGTGCCTGAGCGACAAACGGAAGCAGAGCTTTGGGCGATAACCCCAGCTCCCTTTCAGCTTTGTGCCAACGCAACATGGCCCAATGGCGAGCAGCAAGCGCCCAGTACGACGGTCCCAGTCGCGCCTCTTCAAGTAGTGAACGAACGCCGCGTTTAAGTCAGCCAACACATGACTCTGCACGCCCGCTTGTTTGTGGTACGCCAGGATCTCCAGTTGTCCGGTAGATCAGACGAGCTTCACAGAAAGCTCTGAACTTCGCACTGATGAACTCTCCAGCCGCACCAACATTCTCTGGACAGCAGACAGAGTCGTGGACTGTTGTTTGTCCACGACAGGTTCCACCATCACAAAATTCACCATGCGTGCCGGCTGCGTCAGGCGATCTGTCAGTTCCTTCCAAGACTTTTCCGAGGACTGAATTTTTGATACCTCTGCTTCAGGAACTAGTGCAGGCCCCACTGGCTCGAGAACGTCCTCCTCTTCGAAGTTAGCGGCTGCATCGCCCAACCATTCTTCAACTCTAGCGCCAGCATCGGCCACTTGATCATCGTCGGCAGCTTCTTCTTTTGCCTCCTCTTCAGGAGGGCGACCCACATTGGGATCCAGCGTTGGGAATTGGTAAACCCCAATCACAGCACGTCGAGGCTTTTGCTGGTGAGCATCCTTGGAAAATTTGTATGGGCCCGCGAGGTCCAAGGACAACGTATATCCGTCACCGTGTTTTCACCTCAAGTGACGGCGCTCTTTGCCAGCAGATTTGACAATCACGTCGAAAGGGATTACGCCCCCTCAGGCAATGATCACGAAAAGCTCGCTCATCAGCCGTTAGCCTCCGTAACATCCCTCCTTATCCTTAAAACGGATAACCGTAGCCTCCTGCTCAGCGTTGCTTTCTTGCAGCCAACCTGTGACGTATTCGTCTAACCAATCCAGGAGCCCACCGCGCCCATATTGAAGTACGTTCTTCCAGCGTTGAAGCAAACGTTGCTGACCACGGAACGACCGCCCGAACCTTTTCTAAAGATTCCCACAGATCGCCGTCTGAAACCAGTAGCGTAGTAGGTTTGACCAGCGCGTGACCAAGCGCTCCCTGATCAAAGTGTGCGGCGCGCAGTCCATAACGCTCGCAGAAATAACGCTCGCAGAATTGCTTAACTTCTGGCCAAGACCAGAAGGTTGGGATTTTATCCCCCACTTGAGGCTGATCCCCAAGATCTTCAGCACTCAAGACCACCTCTTGATTCTGAGAAACTCTTTTCCTATGAGCTCAGGTCTCCAG